GTGGAGTCTCCAGTGATTTTGTAGGTTTGCCAAAGTGTGAGATTTGTGTTTTTGATACTTGCGAGTTTTTTCTGCCAAATTTTGTTTTTTTATCAAGGTGACTCTTTTTTGCATGGTATTTGTGAGTATGTTTCTGTGTAGTTTGTAAATCTGATTGCCGGTCTTTTAGATTTTTTCTCATTTTGTTTCTATTTTTTATTTTGTCGGAGAGGAGCGAGTCTGTGATTGGGTTTATATTGTGGACTGAGATAGTTTGTATGGTTTTGAGATATGCCTTCTGAATGTGGTGAGTGAGAGTTTTGATTTCTGTGTCTATGTCTCATTTGTTGGTTAGGTGTGGATTTATGTTAATTCTATTTTAGTGATCCGTCTTTGTTTGTTTTCTTTCTATCTTGTATATGTGCAGTGAAAGTTCTATTGGGAGATGATTTGATGGTAGGTCGTTGATAATTCAGTAGTTGAAGAGGTAGGGTACATTGGAGAGGAAAATATCTATATTGGTGGATATGCAATTTGGCTGTCTATGTGTATAGATTTAATTGTGTATGATTTGATAATTTCTTAGTTCAGAGTGGTTTTTAATTGTTAATCAGTTCGCGTTTCTATTTATATTGTTTCAGATGCGGTGCTCAGCGTTGAAGTCTCCACCGATGAAGAAATGTTCGGTTTTATGAACAGAGATGATATTATCTACGTCGGTTTGAAGAATTTTAATTTTTGGAGGAACGCAGCACCAATGATGAATGTAGGTGTGGTTTTTAGTTTTATTGATAGCTATTCTATGTTAGGTGAGAGAGGTTGAGGGATGTCTTCGGTAGGGATGTCTTCGGCAGGAATGTTTTTACAAATGGTTAGGAGAAATCCTCCTTTAGGATTATTGGAGGTTGTGGGGGATCGGTCCTTTCTGTAAATGTTATAGTTAGGAAATTTGAGTACGTCAATAGACGTTAGCCATATTTCTGTAATAATGGCCATGTTCATGTTGTGGTCCGTAAGAAATTTGTGAAGTTCTAATGTTTTGTTTCTTACGCTAGTAGTTGCGTTCCGCAACATGAGTTTTAGTAGGTTTTGATGAGTGGCCATTTTCCAATTCTTTGACTAAAATTGTACCTTTGACTCTATCCAGATTGTTAGTACACCTTGTATAATGTTTTTGTATTGTGAGATTATTCGGAGAAATAAATCGAGATCTGTTGATTTAAGTAAATCTATTTGTTCTGTGATGTCAGGATTGTTGCGTGGATCGGTTGGCAAATTGAGTGTTAGCGCTCGTGCATAGATTAGTCCATGTTTTAGTCTATGAGTGAGATAGATGGAAGAGGAAATGTAGGGAGTGTAAGGAAGGAAGGCTGGGGAAATATTGTGTGCGTGATGGGGTGAGTGACAGTTTGAAGTGTTTGAATTTTGTTATTGTAAGCGGTTTCTTTTTTGGAAATAAAAGCTAGTAAGGAAGGGCATCTCGAGAAATTAGTTGAGTGATTTTACTTGCAGTTAGCACATATAGATGGAGTTTGCAGTGTTTTCTTGCGAGTTCTAGAGTCGTGTGATCCAGCGCACTTTACACAAACTGCTTCTTTGTTACAATTTGCTGAGATATGGGCATGAGCTTAGCATCGAAAACACTGGATGATAAGTTTACGTGATTTTTACGTTTACGACAAATTTTTCCCAGTATAATCATATCTTGATATTTCCAATATATCTGACGTGATTTATCTACGCAATAGTTGTCCCGGGTGCAAAGGTAACTCAATAGATCGGGTATCTTGTATGTGTGGGAATTTCTGTACAATGGATTGGGTTTAGGCTCTGATTTTTAATATTATTGCATATTCTAGTTACTGGAATTTTAATGAGTTCTTTGAGCACTACAGTGGTTGTTTTTTCTGTGTGAACTGCTTAGGTATGGTATTCAATGTTTTCCTTTTGACAAATTGACTTTAAATCAATGAAATTGTTGAGATTTGTGAACATATTCAGATTGTTAGATGTGATCTTGACTTGGAAAGTAATTTTCTTTAAAAGCTTCCTTGACGTTGTTTATTTTACCGTGTATATAGATGGTGGGAAGTTTAGAACTGTGAGGTTTTATGTTAGAAGCGTTGGAGTTGGATGTAGTGTGTTCTTGTGTAGAAGTATTTTTCGTAAGTGATTCTGTGTCTTGTGTTTTATTCTCCTGATCGGTTATTAGGCAATCAGCAAATACGCTGAACCTGTTTTTATTTGAATATGTTTGGATTTATGAAATCCATACCTTCAATTTTATTAATTTTTTGGCTGGATAATACAATAATGTGAAAATACAAATCGATAGAACATTTGTGTAAAATTTCAAACACATTAAATATAAATTGAAGCTTAGAATGCTTGAAGATCTTGGTAAGTTTTGATTGTCTTAGATATTTTGAAAATCATGAGAACTGTAATAAGGTTTGTTGGCGTGATAAGTATTTAACACTTTCTAACTATCTCGGTCAAACAGTATCACTGACATAAAATGTTTAAAAAAGTCTAAACTGTTCGAATAAATAATATTATAATATTAACACTTATGATTTCTTTATTTAAATATTAATATTCATGATATGTATTGTGTATTATAAAAATAAATAAAAATAAATATATTTATGATAACTCGAATTTTCTAATCAAGAACCAAGATTTATTAAAATTTTCAAGTGTTTTGAGCTTCGAATAATATTTATTCGAAGGAATTCAAATATGTCGACAAATATACAATATAGATTCTCCATATTCGCTGCACTATTTGTAAATATATACAAGAAAATTACAAGAAATTTAGTATAAGTTCCATTTTAATATTACTACGCAATTATTTATTCACTATTTGAAAAAAAAGTCTTTCAAATAAAACTTGTTTTGTTCCAAAGGATGTCTTACGATAGTCATCAGATTTTATTTAGCTAAAAGCGTACATATATTTTTCTTATGCTTGTATTATAAAAAGATCTATATATATCGAAAAATTATTACTTTAATAGATATTTTACCTGTAATTTTATAAAAACAATTGCATGAAAAACAAAAACGATATGAGTATAAAAATACAATTCTCATTTTTCTTTATCTTTGATAAATTTTACGAAATTAAAATAAAAGTGTCTTCTAAACTAATAATTTTTATTATTTTTCTTCCTTTATTAAACTTCTTTCCTTTTTTCTTACTTTATTAAACTTTGAACATCAGAATTAAATAACAAAATATTAAGATTTCTTGAATTTTGTTGTTTCATTTTAATATATTTAAAATTTAATAAAACCATAGAACAAGCTTTAAAGAATTACTGTAAAGAGAAAATTTCTTCAAAATGACGAAGTTTAAGCCCGAAAAATTTTGATGTTTCCGAAATTTATTTTTAGAATTTTTACAATTTTCGAGAACCGAAACATCCTTACTTTACTATCTGCTATATGGTGTAAACATATCTTTGAAAATGGCCCTTTGAAACAAGACGCAGTAGATTATTATATGATTTTCTGTTTATAACATACATAATATATATCTTTTTATGTTAACTGTCTAAATACTGTTGTGCAAATCACTATGTTCAACTTTTCGACAGATTTCGACATCAGTAATGAACATTTTTCTTTATGAGAAGAAACTGTTTATTGTTCAAATAAACAATACACTACATTCTTTTGTACTATTTTGTACAAAAACAAATGTGATTTTATTATATAAAGTCAATACGTAATCTTGGACAAAATATGGAAATACGATTTCGAGATTGTTTAAATAGCAAGAAAGAAGAAAAAAAAGATACACAGAATAGAAGATACACAGAATATTTAATAATGGAGAATTTTGCATACAATAATGGGGTATTTAATGCAAACTTTCCTATTTAACCATAGCATATCAACAAATTACAAATAAGGTGAATTCGAAAACTAGTGGGATTTTAACATTTCTTCCCAAGAGAACGGTTGCGACCCATGATTCCTGAAAAATTATTTCTTCACATAATAAGTATTATGTAACAACAAAAATGCATCTTAAAAATCATGCTCAAAGTCAATTTTACACGGAATTTTTTTTATTGATCTTCATTGATAGAATACCGCAATATAATATTCTCATGTCCTGTGCAGTTAATTTATCTAGTATATATTAGTCAAGTTTTAAATATATAATTTTAAAACGAAAAAAATGTTTTGATTTTGTAGATTCTAATTAATTTGATAGTAAGGTTACATTATTTTTAAAATATTTACAATTTTTCTTACATTTATTCAAACAAATACATAACTAAATTACAATCTTACAAAAACCTATATACAATTATCATACACATAATAAAACAGTAAATTTATTCTGATTATAACTATAATAATAATGGTCACACACACGCGCAGGACTCTGCTATATTTCATTTTAGCTTTACGAAAAATCATTGAAAATATTGTATAAACATAATGGTTTGTAACTTTTTGTAACTTTTGTACTGAATAAGATATTTTTGAAATTTTGTTCTAAATTTCATTTGTTTCATTTAACTGAAAAAATTAAGGAAAAGAATCTATTTTTCCGAATCAAAAGGATTAAAAAATGTATTTATAAATTTTCTAAAATATTTTATGTTGTTCAATTAATTCTTCAAAAGTACATCGTTATCTAAACGGTAATGAAACATCGAATCTAAATAGTAACCAGAAGAAGAAAACAATTGATACTAATTAAAATTGGTGAAAGAATCTGAAGAAATTATATATTATATAAATAAATTGGAAGAGATTGCTAGATAATTTACTGTGTTGTATCAGAATGATCTTACAAATTTTCAGGTATAAAATCATTAGAACCAGACGTTACAGCTTTTTTTTTAAATATTTTACACAAATTTAATTTTTTTAAAAATACGAGAGAGAAAGAGACAGAATGAAGAAGCGTCAGAAGAAGGTGGTTAAGAGAAGTAAGAAGGAGGAGCAGGAGGGCAGCTGATGGCTTGACGATATCTCGGACTCTCGAAACTTACCGGATAGACGAACTCCGCGAAACTTTCCTGCCGCTTTCCTGCTCCAGCTCCTTGATAGTTAAAAGTTTGCACCAGCTTGGTGTTGATCTACTTCACCCACGCCTGGATTAATCGTGATTCCGTAGAACGGAGTGACTTAAGGAAGTACCTACTGCAATGTGAAAACGATAACATAAAGTAAATTGAAATAAAGGAGGGCAGAACCAAATAAGATAGATAATTATCTGCGATTACTATATAACACTCATATGTTTCATGTAAACATAAACAAATTTATTGAACGATATATAGATAAATCTATTTTATTCTATTAATTCTAAGTTATTTTATAACTTAATATTCTAATTTATATAAAAACACTATAGTCGAGGTAATAAATAAACAATTATGAAAACTATATCACACATGATCTTGATAATAAGTTTCAACGTATTATACTATGTATACGGATTTTAGAAAAGCATTCGACTGATCACATTTTATACTACAAATTATTCGTTTTCGAATTTCAATCTACTATTTGTTTTGTGATTATGTTACCAATTATGAACTATTAGGATTCTTAATATGGTGTCGGCTTCTTTGTCTTTTTATTTGGAATATCTCAAGTTCCTTATCTTAGTTTCTAATCTTTATTAACAACCTGCCAACTATGTTCAATAAAACAGTTCCTTTTACATTTTCGAGATGATTTAAAATTTTTCACCAGAATAAATAATTATTTCGATGCTAGTGACTTATAATTGGATCTCAATATATTTTCTGATTGATGTAATAAAATGTATGTATCTAAACATCTTCAAGTGTAATGAGAATATCTAGAAGAAAACTATTTTATTTGTTTACTCAATAAACGATACTATATACTTTGTTTATTCAATTTTATTCGTTTATTCAATAAACGATACTATATTATTTTCTGTTGACAACGTAAGGGACTTGCTGAGTATGATGCTAAGTTACCATACTTCAATTACAAGACAAACAGATTGGTCATTTTCCGTTTTCGTGAAGACTTCAAAAATCCCAATACTCTCAATCAGATTATTATTGCATTTTTTGACAAGCCTCACTTGGGATATCGAGTATCGAGCCAGCGTCAACTAGTTCCCTATCGAAAGAAGTACGTACATATATTCAAGCTATTGGGAAAGTTCCTGAGATTCATCTCACGTACACTGGGTATTTCAATGAGTAGACACGACCGCAATTACAATTCTGTATATTGTAAATTATATATCAGAATTGAGCAAAAAATTAATCAACGATTAATAATTAAATTTGTCTAGTAATCTTTAATAACAATTAATGACATTTCAACTTTAGTTATTAATTATAAGTAATTATTAAATTTCTAATTTAGATCAACTATCTTTTAATCGTTAATTACAATTAAGGATTAAATTCTTACTTTAATGGTTAATTGTTATTAACGATTGTTTCTTTCAATTTTAGTTGTCAGTTGCATAGCTCATTAACAATTAACTGTTGAAATTCTTTTTGTAGTGAAATTAACGTTTTCTATGTGTCTTATTCGCAGCTAAGAACCGAGATACCTTGCAATAATGTATAGATAAATGGTAAAGCTTTTGTAAGTGAATATTTTTAATGTTTAATGCAATGAAATAAAGTTTTTTTATTATTGTTTGTTTATTTAATAAATTTTGGAAGAGAGTTAACTAGGCTTGCAACTAGACATATGGATTGCTCGCTCTATACCTCTTGACAATATAAACTAGAAATTTTTTATTTTATTTCAATATCTTAACTGTAAAACGGTGTTTTATTGCAATTTCAAAATATTTCAAAATATATCTCCAATTTAAATGGAATTATAATCAAATTTGATGTAACAACTAATAATTAATAATTGATGATTAACACTGTTAATCAATTAAATCAATTACAGATTTTTTGGCGATTAATTTTATTAATTATAAACATTAGTCAATCAATCAAATTAAAAATTTTAGTCGATTAATGCTCAACTCTGATATACATATGTTTATGCTAGAGAACCGCAGGAAGCTATCTGATAAAAATCATTAATAATTTTATTAATTATTCTCCGCATCTTTAACTTTTAATTTTAACTATTAATTTTAATACGTGTTTACATTCTCTCCATAATTCGTTAATATTTAAGTTAGATTTCCTTGCGACAGATATTAGACCTATTATATTAGATAAAAAGAGTCTGTAAATATGCCAATGAGATCTCAAATAGAGTGGACTTTCTCTCCATTGAAAAATGCAAACATTCGTTATTAAAGTAAATAATTATTATGTTAGTTCATTTTTTTCTTTTATTTTTGTTATTCTTGTTTTTAGTTTTGTTGTTCATTTTTGTACGTGTCTTAATTTATGTGTTATTAGACTCCGTTAATGAATAATAGTACCTGATTTATTACTTAATTGAATGATTTTTAAGCAATAACTGTAAGCGATTGATATATAAGAATAAATTTTTATATTAATCCACTTTTTATCTAAAAATATTCTATTATATTTATTATATACTTACTGTACAACTATTTATTATGAAACCATTGTATATAACTATATACTATTAGATATATGAAGATAATAACAATAGGTATAAGATTAACTAACTCGATATATTTTTATGAAAATTTTCTCATATTTGCAATAACTCTTTACATAATCAGTAAATTTTTTCTAATTAATTTTCATTTGAGTTTTTCGTTTATTCTCACAAAAACTTTTTAACGAATAAAATGTGTGGCATAGTGATTCACAATATATTGTGGAAAAACTAGTATTTCACACAAAGCAAGAAATAGAAACAATTCCAAAAATATGCTGAATAAAAATTCATTTAAATGTACAATGTTAAAATGCTAAGTAAATACGCAACGACTAAAAGGCCTAAAAAAAAAAAAAAAAATGTGCAAAGGAGAGAAATGAACGAAAGAAAGAACAAACGAAAGCAACCTTAGGGTATGCTTAAATCTGTACTAGGTCTTCAGAGTTTAACACGGTTTCTGCGAAGCTCTCGCGCAGAAAAATAAATTTTGGACCAGTCGACGGGCGTAAAAGGGATTGAAGAAAAAAGGATGAAACGAATATACAGAAAAGGACATAAACTAGTAAAGGATAGAAAAAGAAAGAAAAAGGCACACGAGCTTACTGCATACAGACAAAATTACATTAGCCAATGTACTTTTCTTGGTGGTCCTCCTAGCTTCTTTCTACTTTGACTAAAAAAAGGGCAATTCACCTGAACATACACACTTAGAATCATATATATACGCATACGCTGATGCCAGGGAATCCAATTAGTTGTATTTCCGCTCGAAAGAGACTCAAGGGGCCTATGCAAATAAATTTACCTCTGGTACTCCGTCTCATCATTCTCTCTTCCGCCTCTTTTTGCCATCAGTTTGTTTCTCTGTCTTCTTTCTCTCTTTCCTCATTTGTGACCCATCGTTCTTTTTTGCATAATCTTTATGTTTTTCTCTACTAAGATATATTTTTTATAATATCTTTAAAAAAAGGAGAGAAGTTTCATTTCTACTATTTAATTACATATGTAATCAGTACGACAATAAAATAATGCGATACTTAACAATGCTTCAGTATAATATAATCGTTAACGTTAGATGATATTTCGATTTTGTATCATATTGGAATATACGAGTTGTGTTTTTATCTTTCAAGAAAGGAAGCGTTGTTGATTGTATGGATCACATACATCTATAAATTATGGATTATACATCTATAAAAGTGAGAAGAAGCTAATCATTGAAATGGTGAAACAATCGTCAATTTTTTTACACACAGATGGTAGTTGGATCAGTTTACAAAGATATACCACTGTTACAAATTATTTAAACTGTCCATTTATTGACTATTTATAGGAAGTGGTTGTCTTCAATCTTTCTTTAATATCATTTTAGACCATTCTCCTTTGTTGGTTTACTTTCGATTTGAACTAAAATAGGCTTCATAATTTACGATAATCTTAAAAAAAGATTAACAATTTTTATAAATAATAGAGATGTCTTAAATGTAATGTTTGAGATGAGTTGAGAAACAAAATTAAATTCTGAATTATTAAAGCAAATAACTTACTTCATTCAATAACTTAAGTAACTTATGGTTATTTAAAAATGTATTTTAATACGTATTGTTCAAACAAAAATTATATTAATATTATTAATATTAATTAAAAAATATAAATTATATTTTAATAAGAATTCATAAAATTAACAATTACAATTGTTGTGTAAAAATCTGAGTAATTGTAAAAATTTTAAACATTTTTTACAACTAATTAATAATTAACCTTGTTTTTTATGATATTATCAGTAAATATTAGTATCGTACATAAAATACAATTCATGATGTTCTTAATTTAAGTAGGGAAGTAAAATAGAAGTTATCTTCACTAAGACCAAGAAACTTTATTTTTAAAAATAACATTAAGATTATTGTTGATTCAGAAGAAATAATTCATATAGAATTTGAAATAGAATTGACAATTGATTTTATTTAAAGCATTTATTAGTAAAAATCCATCATACGACGCAAAGGACGTTCTGAATGTTGATTTTTAAATATAAAAGATGCACATATTATATATGGAATATTAATAGATTGTATAGGAGGCATGATGTGATCATGAAATGAACAAAAATGAAAGAAAAAATATAGAATAAATTTTTTTCATTTGAATCTTAGTTTTCGAGAAGATTGAATATTCATTGACTAAAAATTCATTCATAATGTAAATAGTATAATATAGCTACAATAAGAATAGTATAATACAGCTATAATAAGAAATACATTATTTTATCAGTTATGTAGAGATATAATATAAATCGACACTTTTAACGCTCTCTCTCAACGCTGTCTCACGACTCTCACGACTCGGTTTTTCAACTCGCATGACTCTTCTCGCACTTTTAAAAAAGAAAAGCGCTCCATGCCTACGTTATGTTTCCCGCATCACATTCATATTTTATTGTATTTCTATGATTAATAAACAGGCCATCTGTTATATTTAAACATAACTAAAATTATAACTAATTATAACCAATACTACTAGTTATATAATTTCAATTTAAAAAAATTTCAATTATTCATGTAATTATATCGTTTTCATTTGTTTTATTGTTACTTGATATA